TTCTCATGGCCAACCAGTGCGCCGTGGCCCACTGGTTGGCCATGAGAAAATTTTGGTGGGCCGTAGAAAAATGTCACCCCCACAGCACCCCTCCAAAGCAATTAATCCAGGCTGCGCAGAAACACAAGGCTGCGCCGCCCACATGGCCCCACCCATTTACTCCTTACCCGGCAAACTTGCCTGCTAAGTTGCTATTTTTCCTTTTTCCAACCATCAGCTGTTCTGCTGTGCCGGATGATTTAGATTAGCTAGGAAGCAGGAAATGGTTGCATTTCTTGCTTTCTAGCTAGTCTTTAAATCTTCAGCTCTGCTTCCCTTAGGACTGAAGGATCTATTTTTCAGTACAGACTCATGGGAAGCAAATGTTATGTGAGAGACTGAGCTAGCTGATGCAGATAGATAGATCACTGAACGATTCTGTGAGCAACTCAATCTGCCTGTCTGCTTTGCCTGATTTTGGGTAAAAGTTGCTCTTTTTTATAAAAAAAATCAATATTTATATAAATATAATATTTACATACAAGCCATGCCCAGCCAGTCACATGACCACCAAGCCACACCCACAAATTAGGCCATGCTCACAGAACCGGTTAGTGGTCCCTGGGATTCAAAATTGTGAGTTTGGTGGTCCCTGAGGTCCAAAAGGTTGTCGACCCCTGATCTAGAGAACTTTGGCTATTGTGTCATTTAATTTTTTTAATTAATTAAAAGTATCTTCGCTGAATGATGAAGAAAATCTTTAGTGCTTCCTGGGCTGCTTACAATATATTAACTGTTTATCGTGACTTGCTGTTAATTGATAAATTGGTTTTCCCATCTGTTTGATGTTGAAGAATATAAAAAATGAATTAGTTGTACCTGGTAGACCGTAATTAAGTTTCAAATTATTCTGATTCTGAATCAGTACCTTCAGCAAAGTAACAAAGAACAGATATACTTGTATGATATTGAAAATAGGGAGCAGATTTTTCTGTGAAAATCTGAAGGCTATGGTATTAAAACTCTTAATCCAATCAAAAGATTTGTAACTTTTCAACTATCTTATAGAATAGTTCATTTAAGTGGGATATTGTGTGGCTATTGGAAGCATTTTAATTAACTCTTCACCAATTTTTACTCAGCTGGCAGAATATAACAATTTGGTACCAATCTGGCAACATCTGCTATATTCTCTAATCAGTTAAAGCCAGAAAAATAAAATAAATGGAAATTAAATATTTTTGTTGCAAGTTCTTTTTTCCCTGAGAAATGAAATGTACTGGGCCAAAGTTTGCTTATAATCCTAATTATTTATTTGTTTTTTTAAAAATTTGTCACTTCCTCTTAAAATACTTTGAAGCAGGTTTTAATTCATTTTATGGCAATCAGGAGCCATGATTATATTAGGAAATGATTGCAAATATAATAGAAAGTAAAATCAGTTTTTCTGATACACTTAAAACTTGCCAATTTTTTGGTTGGGAGATTCGGAATTATAACAACACAGTGTTAGTTTTAACAGAAAAGTAGTTTCCACTGTTCTTCGGGAATTGGAGTTAAATAAGCTAAATCTACTAAAATTATTGAAAAGTCAAGCATTGTACTGCAGCAATCCCCAAGCCATTAATAAAGAATAATTTAAAACATCTCAGTAATTTCCTGATTTGTATACTCCCTTCCCTACATGTGTTATTTTTAATGCAGCAAAAGAAGAAGAATGATAGATCAGCAAACAGGTTTGTGAGTGTCCCCAATCTAAGTGCTTTGGAATCTAGTGGAGTGGGCAATGGACATGCTAACCGCCTGGACCCTATTCCTAATTCATCCATCCACGATATTGAGTTCAACAGCAGCAGACCACTTCCACAACCAATACCACCCAAAGAGCCCAAGATGGTTTTGAGGTGAGCAGAGCCTCACCAGTTTTTGATTTTCTTTTTTCCTAACTTGGAAAACAAAAATTGATTTCTTTTTAGTTGACACCCCTCCCATTTAGTTTAAGAATACTGGAGTATGGTTATTGTTTTAGAATCATAATTTTCCCACTCTATTTTAAACCTCTTTATAGTATCCCTTTTTATTGTAAAGCTTGTTGAAATATGATTCCCCCAATAAGTCTTATTTCCCTTAAAATTTCAAAGTGTTATATTATTACCAATGCGTTGTGTGCTTTCAGTTATTTACCTTTATGAACAGTTGTGTTAAATGTTTGTTATTTCTACCTGCCCTTCAAGAATGTTACAATCCCCCAAATCAAAATGGTATTTTGTAACAGTGCTTCTAACAAAATATTTACCATATTAGATTTGTATCAATTTTCCTCACCGCAGAAAAAATATTTTTCGAAAACAAGCTTTGAGTATATGTGAATATAGTATGTGCATGTATTACATACCGTTTAATGCTATGCTTCAGCATTAAAATATCAAGCTCCACTTTGCATTACAATTGGAATGTTTTATTATCTAACTGAAATATTATATAATGCTTTATATCCTGGAAAAGTAAATGTTTCTTTATTCTAATTTAATTCTGCTTTAATGCAATTTACAAAGTTGGGGCAGAAAATAGAATAGGAAGTTTTCACTATAATAACATTTTATTTCTTAACTTGAAATAGGAATCCCATAAAATGTAATCTTCCTTATTTTCCCTTTGCATGTAAAATGCATGTATGCTCAGACGCCATTAACAAGCATGTGCATGAATTCATGAATTGTGATGATGGAATTTCCTTACAAATTATTGTGTTCCCTGATTTGTCCTATAAACGGTAGGGAATATTTTAACATTCTAGCTATAAATTTTAATCATACTAAAGCAATAAAGTATATGTAGTGATTATATCATACAGGTTTACTTGATAATTGTGAGTAAACAAAAGGCTTGCTTTGTACTGAATCCCGTGTTCTATTGTATCTGATTCTGTATGCATGCAGTTTCAATAATTTACTCTTAAGTGTGTCATATTTAAAGTATGTAATTGTTCAGTGCCAGATAATTCAGCATGTCCTAAAGAATATGATGTTTGCATCATCATATTTGACAACTAACTTGATCAGAAGAAAAGGATGCTAAAAGAGGATGCTCTTTAAAAACAAATTTTCCCTTGCTTTTTTTTTTTTTTTGGACAAAAGCAGCAACTCCAATTTTTTTTCCAAAACACTATTTTTCTACCCTGTTGTGTGACTTAGTGACTTGTCTATGCTGCTGATGCTCTCCAATGGAGTGGATGACCGAAAGTTGAAAATGGGGAATTAAACTACCTCACAGACTAATGTGACTTTGAAATTATAAAAATTGATTCTGTGCTGTTTTTGTATGCTTTTTCCAGGCAATTTGCACCTTGACTCTTGGTTGTGGGTTAAATCTTTCTTTTCTTTTTATGAATCTAGCCCTCCTCAGACTGAAGCTTCCCCAATGGCTTCACCAGATCCTCAACGTCAGGAATGGTTTGCTCGTTACTTCACATTCTGAAAGATTATTTTGAATGGCACAGCATGGTGTGGACTGTACTGTTCATAATAGCATGACCTTAAAATAAATCCTTATGTGAAACAAGCTTTCTTGTAATATGTCAAACACTGTGAATGAGAACGTATTTGTCTCTCTGATTTGAAAATGCACTCTATTTTATGTGATACTTGTTGGAATCACTTAACAGTTATATAAATGTGCTTAATGACACTTATTTTTATTTAAAATTGAAAACTATTTAAACTTTGTAATTATTGCATAATAAAATTTCATAGAAGAAATGCAATCTTTCCTCCACTTTTCCTATAAATATGTATATTCTTTATTTTCAGGGAAGGTTTTCACATCCCATTTCTCTCTCAAATGCAATTAATTGCATGGTTATTATATATTAAAATAAATTGTTAATTTAAAAATCAGACAATGGCAAAATATGTTTAAATCCATATATTTTTTAATTAACTTAGAGAACTAACTTTAAAAATTGTGGTTTATTCTAAAAGTGAGGAAGACTGCTAAATTATAATAATATATAAAGCTAGGTGTTGATAAGATTATAGTAAGAAAAATTACGGATATTTTAATGTTGAAATTCATCACCTTTTGTCATAAATATTTTATAAATACATGCAGAAGCAATGCTGTTTAGACATTTAGCATTTGGGGTTACTACATTAGGTAATGCTGTTATTAATAAAGTGAAATTTATGGAAAGCTGCATTTTGAGGAAATTATCCTTTGGGAAAAACTCAGGCATTAATGAAAAAATAGTGCTAAACAAAATAATTATGCATAATAAAGCATGCAAATCTTTCATCAGAGTTCCAGAATAAATATTAACATTTTTCTCTTCCATTTCAAAATTAAGCCATGACCATGTAACCTTTTTCACCTGGAGAATGAGCCTGATTTTCCACTCTATTACACCTGTCTTATAATTGTGCAGGTTTTCTGAGAGAAAAGATGTAATATACTGGCAAATCTGGTTTTTATATATTTTGTTGATACTGTTGCTGTTATTTCCAAGATTACCACAATAAAACTAACACTGGTAATCTCAGGGAGAAACTTTTCTTTGTTTTATGAATGTACTTTTAAGATCTGATCTTTGTATGCATAAAGGGGGAGTAGGAAAATTGCATGGTTATTTTAAAAACAGTTTTTATTCTTAGATACAAAAATATAGCTCTCCATTATTTCTGCTAAAGCCTGACTGCGTCTTCCCATTATGCAACAGCATAATCAACCAATGGTACCACCAATAATATAGTGAATTTTATATGTAGCATATGTACAAAAAATTTCTATGTTTTCATATAAAATGTCCTAATCAGACTTTTCAAATTGTATCTCCTGTAAACTCATATTGAATGCTTCACTGGAAGCAATGTTCTAATGCTTTCCTGCTAATCTAAAGCAGCATTTGACAGATATTCTATGGTCTGTGTAAAGATATATACAGCCTTTACATTAGAAGAAAGCCATATTAAGTTAAAGTTGGATTTCTTGGCTGTTACCTATAATAAAATATACTGGATAATTTTGCAATGATGATCCAAAATACTATTGTGTTATGTTTTTCTTATTTAAAGTTGTATGATTTGTTTACCTTAATAACAAAAGATTGAGTGGAGGGCACCAGAATACTGTAGTTAACATGTTGAGTTAGAACTACCGGTAGGCAATCCCAAACTGAAGTCGATCAACAACCATGGAAACTCATTTGGTGACTTTTATCCAGTTGCCTTCTCTGAGCCCAGCTGACCTCATATGGTTGTTGTGGGAAGAAAATGGAGGATACAGTATATATCATCTTAGGCTCTTAAGGAAAGGTGGGATAGAAGTCAAATGTTAAACATCAGAACTGTAATAGTATTTTAGTGTTCTTGTTCACATTTTTTTTACTTTTTCTAGTATAATATCAATGAAATCAACTTATCTTCTATACTGAGAATATGAAAGAAGACATTCATTTGCATATTTTACTCTGACGCTGCAATTTACTGCAATTTACAGAAGCTGTTTTATCACAAAACACAAGTCATTTCCCCATACTAAATTAACCCTCAAAATAGTATTATCCAATCTGTAAATGCATAGAAGCTTGCTTACATATTATATATCAAAACTATGGAAAACATTCAAAAGAACTTTGCAAAGCAAATTGCTACAAGTAAAGTTCTTCTCCACAATATATTAAAAAGTCACATCCTTTGGAAAGTTTGCATGGCTACTGCAATTTCCAGGGTGTACAGACAACTTTTAAACTCTGATAGCACCAAAGTAACTGTATATGGCTCAGGCAATGGGAGACAGCCTTCAAAGCAGTTTTACATGCTTTCCCAAGGTACAGTTGCTTTAATATCTCAAGGTGAGTGCATCACCATGCCAACACACTTTGCAAGGCACCTTTTTCAAGATTTCACAAATCCTATTTTGTAGGAAGCTGAAAGTGAGTTTTTAAAAGCCCAGTCATTTCAATATATGGCAAATAAATACTGTAGATGAACTACTCTCCTTGCAGTCTAAGTCATTTTTTCCAACAATTTGCTATAAAAAATCAGTTTCCGGTTAACCTTGAATGATACAATTTATTCTCATTAACTTCTAATGTTCAACCTATACATGTAAAAAGTTATTCTGTACATAGCAATCTGCTAATACTGTGGTCTCCAATATGGCAACTTGGAATGCTAGTGCTCTTGCTATGCAACAGGTTCTATGCTGCCTTTTATAATTTTCTAAATTTAAAAAAATGCGTGATGCTGCAAAATGAAGTATTTATCTCCAGAACTGTTTTAATTCCTGGAAGCACCTCTAGTTATTCTAGCAAGTTTATAACAGCAGCTTAATTTAATGCATAGGTTTTAAGTGTATTAAATGTCAGGTATTTTGAAGCCACACATAGTACCTTCAAGGCAATATACATTATGTGGCATCGTGTCACTTTCTAAAACATATTTAAAAGCATACATGGCTTATAACAAAGTAGCATGGGCTTCATTACTGTACCCTTAGCTTCATTTCTACAAATGTAAACATTGGTAGATTGAGAAATCTGTTTTACTTGTATTTCCTTTTTACTTTGCAAACTTTTTAAGACATGAAATGAATCTCACTCTATCATAAACTGATAATTTATCAGTTTACTGTATTTTACCTGCTCCTTTCCTTGTTATCTGTTATCTTTCCTTCCTTATCTGTTCCTTCCTCTTATTGGAGGAATGGTATTGCTGTGTTTTATTATTCAAGCACCCTATTTTATTTACAACATTTGGCAAAAATTGTTCTACAATGCTTCTGACCTTAAAGCTATCACATTTAAAAGAAAAATGCTAGTTTCAAAGTTTCCCTTGAAAATCCAGCCATTTTGACTGTCAAAGCTAGAATGCTCAAACCATTCCTATACCTGGGATCTACGCCAATATTTCTTCTACATATTTCTTACTGTACAATTACCCTACTTCACATTTTCCAGTGGGATGAGATGTCATTTTTGGTTTGTAATCATTGGCTTTTAAATGATATACAACTGTAATGGAAAAACCTGTTAGAAATAGAAAACATCTGGAAGTTTTTACCAGAAGGATAATTATAGGACAATAGACTTATCCAGAAGTTTTCTACTACCAGCACTACCACCAATGGTATAGAAAAGGTTTGTTTGTTCATGCAGTCATCCAATCCCTTCCACATGAGCCTATAACTCAGACTGACATAATTTCCCATGAAGAAATGCTGGTTACTGATTCCCATTAAGAAATGTTGGTTATATCCTGCAGTAATTATTCTACTATACTGCCTTTTTTTTAAAAAAATGCAGTTTTTAAGTGTGCAATCCTGTAATGCATCTTATAAACTAAAGCAAGCAAAGTATATACAGCAGTGTAAAAACGAGACAATTCCCCTCAGACATTGAAAAATGTTCAGCTGTAGGGCCGCATGTGTGTTTAACTGATACGAACTCAGTAGGAACCCTAAAGACAGTTGATATAAAAAAGTAAAACGGTGGGACTTGAAGTTCATTGCTCGTACTTCCAAAACGGGATCCAAGTCTTAACCTTCCGGAGGACTCCCTACCCCGCTTCATTTCGCTTTTTTCTCCCCTTGTGTCTTAAATCGATCTGACGACAAAGCTCTCTTCGCACTACAGTACTTTTTTATGTGTGTGCCTTCTAATGTAGACAGATTCCTAGCAAGTTTTTTTGGCAAGATTTCAGAAGCGGCTTTGTCCTTCCTGCTTTTTCCTAGTGCTGAAAAATGACCGACTCAAGACAGGACGAGACCTCCCGGTTTCTACCCTGATATCTTAACCCCTACATCGAATTTTACTGTTCAGAAATAATATACATAAGGAACAGGTGGGGAGGATAGAAACAACCACCGATAATTCTGCTTTTTTCCTTTCTGGTCTGCAAGAGAAACAGCGCTCTGCTTCCGCTCCCCCCCCCCCGGCGGTAAAACTCCATGGCTTCCCATTGCCTAAGAGGAAGATGGCTTCAATTCCCACTCTCCAATTTTAAAGTTCAATACTGCAGCCCTCCTGACACCTATACACGGAGAAGCAGTTTATTACAACCCAATCAAAGAAGTGAACTACTAAGAACAGAGCCGGCGAGCCTGGCGCTTTTTCTTCGAAGGGCTTCATTTACTCAATAAGGCTTGGCCACCGATAATCGTCGCGCCCCGCAACCCTCGCGCGCCCAGGCGCAGCAGTCCGAAAAGGAAAGACGCCCGCCCTTTCCCCGTCTGTCATCCAGCACCGAAGCCGGAGGAGTCAATCTTCGCCGGTCCCGCCTCCTCCTCCTCCTCCTGCCGGCTGGTTCCTGCCGCTTCTTTTTTGCCGCCAGACCGGTAAAAGGTTTTTCCCGCCAGCTCCAAGCTTCGTCATACGGATGGTAAGTCGCGTGGCGTGAGAGGGAAGCCTCCCGCCCCGGGGAGTTCGCGCTGCTCCACTTTTGCAGCGCGGCTCCGTATTTCTCCTTCGTCGACGCGGATTAACCCGCTGGCGTGAAATCTGAGGGCCAAACTTCTTCTGCTTCTTAATTGAGCCGCTCGGAGTTTGCCCGCCCCTTCTTCAGCCCCGCCCTCATTACTTCTGATTCTCTTTATGGATATACCCTGCAATAGCACTTAGGCTTATATACTGCTTCACGGTGCTTTTACAGCCCTTTCTGAGCGGTTTGCAGAGTCAGCATATTGCCCCAAAAATCTGGGTCCTCATTTGACCGACCCCTTGGAAGGATGCGGTGGGGAAGAAGTGTCTTTGAGCTCAATTGGAGCGGAAAGACGCTCCACTTGCGCCAAATGCAGCCTTGGAACACACACACACACACACCCTACACATGCAGAGACAAACCACACTCACCTGAACCTGGAGAGGAGCAAAAATCTTTTGAGATATGATGCTGCCCTGCCTTTTCGAAATGTTTAGATCAAATTCTTATTTATTTAGTTGTTCCATACTTTACTGCAATTCAGGACTACTCTCAGAATTATTGATTTTTTTTTACCAGTTTAGTAAATCTCCTTTCCTGGATTTTCTGAAAAATACCTGTTTTCTCTATTTGATTTTAAATATGTATGCATAATACCAGTAGCTGGTTAGATCGATAATTATAAAGCACTAAAATGAATACATTTAATAATAAAACAAAATGTTGCAAGTTGATAATCCAATAATTGAAATGAAAATGAAAAGGGAGACAACAGGGAGCAGAGATAAACAAAAATTGGGTCTGAAGTTGCAGTTAATCTAACAATCTGTTTTTCTGCCTCTGTTGGCCAGATGGTTGTGAAAGGCTTGATACAATAATTAATATGGCTTCTATAGCTACCTAATGCTCAGGAATCCTTTCATGAAGATCCGATTGAAATCACACCAAAAACAACAGTTGGAACTATCCTGTATTTGCCTAATTCTAGAGGAGTAAGAGGCAATTTGCTGTTCACTGTTTCACATATGTTTATATGTCTGCAAATTAGGAATTTTGATATATATTTTTCTGTTTTGATATTTTTTTCTGTTAACAAGAAATGTTTTCTTCCTGCTCTGTGGAGTTACTGCTCTGCTGTACTGTGTCTTATGAAACTGTTCAACGCTTTAAAAACCAGAAATGTAAAAAAGACCTTTCAAAACTGAAGCTCTTCAGTTTCTAGATTTCTCTTATAGAATCACATCATTTCACAGAATTTTACAGGAGATGCAGCTATTAATAACCATTCATTCGTAGTTCCCCCAATTCTGTTATTTCTCTTATAAAACAAAAACTCATCAAGAAGGTTAAGCTATAAGACTTGGTTACCATCAGGAACCATTCATCTGGAAGCACCCTTTTTCAAAGAGACAAATACTTTTTTTTACTATGACCCTGAGAAGATCAACAACGTTCTGCCCTTCTGTACACAAATAAACATTGTTTGAAAGTACTAATATGCCAACTGAATCCAAGTTGAATGGACTCCTCAGCTGCTATAGTATGTTTATCTTTGATTATTATATATACACAGAGTATGGACATAAATATTATCATTGAAATGTCAGGAGACATTAAAAAGGTTTTATCCAAGAAAGGAAGCAAAACAGAGAGCAAGGATTCAGAGGAAGAGCTGAAATATAACTATGAAGCAAATTAGTTTTATGCAATGCGCTAGAAACATAATTAAGTTAGTTTAATATTGTCTTGTATCTCTCCTAATTATAGGACTCATGATGGTTTTAACTACTGAGCAAATAAACCTGATTGGACAAGTATTTGAATCATATATTCTGGCATATCACCAAAACGACATCTTGCAGATTTTAAGGGAAAAAGATGATGACACCCATTACCCAGTTATTGTTGATGCATTGACACTTTTTGAAACCAACATGGAAATTGGTGAATATTTTAATGCCTTCCCTAATGAAGTGCTTCCTATTTTTGATAATGCATTGCGTAGAGCAGCTGCAACAATATGTCAGTCAGCTTCCCAAGCTCAGGAATTCATCATTAAACAGAATCTTCATGCCAGAATATCAGGTAAATTGCATTTCTCGTGATACATACAAATCTTGGTTAGCTTTGTAAAAAGTCTCTGTGGATTATGTAGCAAGTGTAAATGTACTTTTATAGCAAGGCTGTGCTTTTCATTAAGATACCCTTACTGCACCTGCCAAACTTGAACAGTAACTTTCATAATTTCCTTTTAGTATTGGTAGCTGAGATAAATGGAACAATTTTAAGCCAGAAAAGGCTGACTTAGAATTTGAATCCAAGAGCACAACTGTTGAGTAGACTGTTGAGAATAGGGATCTAGACGCTTTTTCCTTTCTCAAGAGGTTTGGGGTGGTTTATGGAAATTCTGTGTCGGTGCATATACACTCCGTCTTCCTTCTTTCAGTGGTAATTTTCTGTATATCTCACCAGTTCCAATGCTTTTTATTTATATATCTAAATCTTTTTACACATATATATATATACAGTACCATTGATGGCACGCTCTTTTTCCAGTTTCAGTTCAGTGATTTAATTTCTTTCCTTCACAACAGTCAACACTTTCCTAGTCAGTCTTTATATCTCTTATAATTTGTTAAACAAATGGGATAGATAGATAGATAGATAGATAGATAGATAGATAGATAGATCATAAATAAATAAATAAATATATCCACTCTGCTTATATTTTATTTCTAGATCCCAAATGCTTGTTTGATGCTTTTTTTTCTGACAAGAAATGCTGGCAGTTCTTTGAAACATTGTATCTCTTTCAGTCTTCACATGATTAACTTGTGCTTTAAAATAGGTCATATAGTTTAAACCCGTAAATAGAGGGAAAAGGGTATTACAGGGAATATATAGGGGAGGACTCCCTTGTTAATTTTATAAAGAGTATAGTATATTTGAATCTATAGAAATATAAGGTAGCCTTAAAAAGGAAATTCTGATGAAGGTTTTTTTTTTTGTTTTAAAAAATTCTTTTTTATGAAGTAAGTTTAGATGAATTAGCCCACTAAAAATTATATATTGTGTTTATTGTTTTCATGTAGCAAATTTCTTTCTGATGCTGAGTCTCTCTAATGTTTGCTGTGAAGTTTTGGGTAGGAAAACTAGGTGATGTTTCTATAATTTTTGACATACTATATCCTTAAATAAGAAATATATAAAAAATGATCAGCAAACTTCAACATCTGATTAGACATTGATCTTACACATTATACAAACCCGTTATTTTATTCATCTGGTTTTAGCTTAGCATGCTATGTGTAGCGAGCCTCTTTAGATTCAATTTATTGTTTAATCCTTAGCATGCTATCAGAAAAAAGTACTTGGTCCCCTGGTAGTATATTTGATTATCCATAATGAAATGAAATGTGTGAATCAAGAATTCTTCATGCTAAGTTGCTAAATCAAAATTAAGAGTTAGTGGAAACTGCCAATGAAATAATCTCTCTTCGTTGTTTGTTGTTTCGCCAGGTTTACCTGTGTGCCCAGAACTAACAAGAGAACACATCCCAAAGACTAGAGATGTGGGGCATTTCTTGTCAGTTACTGGCACTGTTATTCGGACCAGCCTAGTGAAAGTCCTGGAATTTGAGCGGGATTACATGTGCAACAAATGCAAGCACATCTTTGTGGTCAAGGCTGACTTTGAACAATATTATGCTTTCTGCCGTCCATCAACCTGCCCTGGGAAAGAAGGTTGCACCTCCTTAAAATTCACTTGTCTCTCTGGAACCTCCTGTGCTTCCAATAGATGCAAAGACTATCAAGAGATCAAGATTCAAGAGCAGGTTGTAAAAAAAAAGTGTTCACACAGATTTGTTGGCTATATGTTTCTTGAGGGATTTAGTGGGTAAATGGTAGAAGCCATATAAGATCCTTTCTCCATGTTACTATTGCCTTTTCCATTATGTGACAAATGTTTCATAGAGAACTTAGCTGATAGAAGTGTAGAGTCACATCCATGGCTTTTTTTGTTCCCTTTCTGCTATATCCTTGTATCCGATAAATATACTTTGGAAGACCCAAAGCTTTTAAAGCAGGTTTGTGGAATATAGGGTGAAAGGATTCCATTCTGGTTATTCTCTCAAAGGCAAGCATGCTTCTAACCGGAGTGTAAATGCAAGGGAATCTGCTTCTGAATCAATCATTCAGTTTTATTACAGTCACAGATCAACATTGGAATCTGCTTCTGAAGAAACATACATAAGATAGACTCTAATAGAAATATAGATCAAATGAAAGCAGATTTCTAAACAGTTGCTTGTCTGAATTCCCACAGGTTGATCACTATTTCTAGTTGATCATACCTTCTGTAAAGTTGGTTCTCATCTGGTAACTTACATAAATTTAGTTGTAGTCCTTGAAACTTATAAGTATTTGCCAACCTTAAAATAAAATAAATAAATTCTATGTTGTCCAGGTTCAAAGGCTTTCTGTTGGAAATATTCCGCGTTCTATGATGGTGGTCCTTGAAGATGATTTAGTTGATGGTTGCAAATCTGGTGAGTTCTGTGACAGATTCTTTTGGAAAATAACTTCATTTTAGCCATTCATAATTAAATAATAATTCAAATTAACATTTTAAATGAGTTCTTGTCTACTAGTAATGTACATGTCGTGTTGTTTCATTGTTACAATTTTATTGATTGTATAACATGAAATGCCATTGTCTTAGGTCAAAACTTCAAATCATATGATGATTGGAATTTAAAGTTTCCAAGTTTCAAAAGACTATTTTTCCATAAAGGAGGCATTGCAATACATGCTCTTCTATGCTAACACCTTTCCACAGAATTTGGGCCAATGTGTTTAAAATATTGTTCCCAGTTAACAGTCTTTATTGTCTTATGTTTTCATATAGATTTAAAAGAAAATAAAACTGCATGCAAATGTGTGGCGCGGGGGGGGGGGGGGGAATGGATTGTAGATTCTTTTATGTGCTTACTTTCTTGTTAACATTTTCCTGCAATTAATTTTTTAAACAGTTCAATAGCCAGAGCTCTCTGGATTTAGAATCACACACCCACCCAAAGAGAGAAAATATAAATTGTGTTAAAACATATCCAATAAAATAACATACAAAAGACATTACACAACTTGGGCCTTGCTGGTCATCACCAAATATAATTAAAATATAATTAAAATCCTGATGGCAGCAGCATGCTAACATAGGGATCAATTGAGACTCTCTGGGAAGTGTTCCAAAAATAGTGCCACCACAGAAAAGTCTGTCTGCTTTGTAAACATCCACTTCACCTCCTTTGGTGTGGAGAGACTCCTCAGTAAATAGTAAAGTCTGAGTAGGTACATGCAAGAGAAGGCACTCCAGTTCATCCAAAACAGATTTCAAAGTAACTGCTTTGTAATTTCCTCAATTCCTTCTCCACCTCCTAGAGATTTGAGTTACATTGGTCTTTTTTTAACCCTTGGAAAAGGATTCCTGTCTTTTGTGAGAAGTAGCATATATGGTGAGCAGCTTAGCATTTTTACTCAAAAGGTTTTTGAATTCCTTTAGAATCCTGGAGTGGACATCAAATCATATGATGACTGGCCAGAAAACTATTGCCAGTTAGCGTAAACAATAATGTATTAAATTAATACAGAATTTAGCATGATATATGAGATCTTTATTTTCCCAAATGCCAATAATTATATCAGTTGATTTTTGACTTAAGATGGCATTTCACATTGTCAGATCAGTATAATTACAATATCAGTATAATTATAATACTAATGAAACACGTACATTACAAACAGGCAAGACTTCTATACTAACATGTGCCAAATTTTTATGACAGTTCTTGATGTTTGTTTGTTTTTGTCTCCCTCAGGTGATGACATTACAGTTTATGGAGTAGTGATGCAAAGATGGAAGCCTTTTCACCAGGATTCACGCTGTGATGTAGAAATTGTTTTGAAGGCCAATTATATTCAAGTTAATAATGAGCAAATTATGGGAATCACAATTGATGAGGAGGTTCGCAAAGAATTTAAAGATTTTTGGGAAAGACACAGGAGTGACCCTTTAGCAGGTGTGCAAAAAAATATATTTAAAAATTGGTATTGACAGCTTCATTTTGAAATGCACCGATTTTGTGCTTTATAATCAAATTGTATTCCATGCTCTGTAAAATCTTATGGGAAGCTTCATAGATAATAATTAAATTAAATGAGGAAAAGGAATAAGAATAGTTATTTTTAACAAAAAGAATGGTGGGTAACTAGCTTAAAGCATGGTGTTTTAAATTTTAACCATGCTATGTCTTGTTGGGTTGATGAATAAAGAGACATCAAACAGCAGCCTTCTCCAATTTAGTACGCTATAAATTCATTGAACTGCAGCTCTTTTTATTAGTTGTACTGGCCAGGAATGATGGAAATTGTAGTCTTGGAATGCCTTAGATTGGCGTACCATGTACTGCTGTTGTGGAATTGAGATGCTAGGTTGAACACAGATAGAATGCAAATGGCCTTGTTTATTGCTTTTTCATAGTTGTGATCAAAGAAACAGGAGACAGATGCTGGCATATGATCAATACATTTTTATATACTATTTCTCCCACCCAGAATTCTATGTATTTTCCTAAGTTGCATGTAGAACTTTTGTAGAAGTTCCAGTTCATTTGACCGGAGACACCCAGAGGTGGGTTTCTACTAGTTCTGTCCACCTCTGTAGAACCGGTTGCTCCGAAGAGCAGCAGACATAGAACCGGTTCTGTGTCTGCTGCTGTTGTGGCCCACCCACCCGCCCAGGCTCTTACCTGACGTTTATTTCCTGCTTTTTCAACTGCAGCTGCTTTGCGCGACACAGCTACAGTTGAAAAAGCAGGAAAAGGGGGCTTTTCCAACCGCTGCGCACTTGCACGCAGCGCTGCTCAGCTATCTGGGCAGCTCAGCAGGTTGTAAATTGCACTCGTGCGACTCGCACATGCGCACATGATGTTAATAGACAGAACCGGTAGTTATACCAGTCGGATCCAATCCCTGGAGATACCTGTTCCATTATGTGTCTGTTTCCAATTAAATGAAGGAAGGAAGCTTTTGTTGGTGTAAAAATTCTGCACCTGGAATAGAACTCTTAACGACCAATAATAATCCCTGGAATCCTTCTTAGAATCTTTTATTCTACCCTTTTAGAATATCAAAGTTTTACCCAATGTGTTGTCTGCCAGTTTTGAACTACTTTTCATTATTATTAAATTTCTATGCTGCCTACCTCACTGGGACCCAGTTCATTAGACTCAGTTAAGGTAAAATGTGATTAGGAATGATGGGAGTTGTCATTCTAAACATCTGGAAATAATGATTCAACAAATCAATGACTACATTTAAAGAAAAAACACTTTCACCCTATTATCTGTCAAATTATCCAATAAAAAGAACTGGATCTAGCAATTTATTTTTCACTATAACTGAGTCAAAGTGAAATTTAAGAAAACATCACAGTGATTTCTAAATCACCTATATAAATGCTAAGATAAATTGGGCATGGCTAGTACTTGGATGAGACCCCCCAGATTATAGTATTGTCTAGACTGAGAAACTGAAATTGTAGAAGGAGGAAACAGTGGCATTGTTGCCTTGAAAATTATATAGATGTTCAAAAAGTCAGCAAGATCACTGGAAATCAAGTCAAAAGAGACTACTGATCATTTTTTCGGTTTAAACCAAGGACAGCATAATAAATAGAGTCAAAGGTGGAATTGTATGTATGTCAGAAAAAGATCAAAGTATATTAATCTATTACTCTTTTCATACTTTGCAGGGAGGAATGAAATTTTAGCAAGCTTGTGTCCTCAGATTTTTGGATTATATCTTGTGAAATTGGCTGTAGCTATGGTACTTGCAGGAGGGGTACAGAGAACAGATAATACCGGCACTCAGGTTAGAGGTTGGTATACAATATTTTCTTCCTTCCACACTATTAGAACACTTTTATTTTTCTCTCTATTTGTTAGACATTGGCCTGAAAAATATATTTAAATTTAGATTGGGGGGTGGGGGCTGTGTGTACATTCTTAGGGAACTAAACAGGTTAAGGATTCTATTTCATGTTTTCACAAGTAATAGAAAGGGCAAGTTATCATCATAATGCTTACAGGCAGAATCAAGATTAAAAAGATGAAATATACATATCTTTTACAATTTCTAGAACTAAAATATGCTTTATTATAAAAGGAATATACAAAAAGCATATGTTTCCTACCTTTTTTGCCCTAACAGAATTTATATATCTTACTTAATATTGCACCTTACTTTACCCAAAGCAAATTTTTGTCTTTGAAATTAATAGCCATAAATATCATACGGTATTAGTGAAAAATTGTTATTGCTATGCTATAATATATGTTTAATGTAAACAATATTTTAGGCATAGTTAATGCCATAGTCTGAATTTTGATGATGATGACCTTGTTATACACATCTTTAAAAAATGCAAAAGGTTGGAAAGATCTGAAACATAGAAAGTGCTCAACAGGGATTCTTCTGGACATGATACTTAAAATACATAAAATTGTTCGATATATATACTATTCCATAGGACAAGGTCCCATTTGTTTGAAAACTTTTAGAGTATTTAGCTGTTAAAGCGAAGACTATACATTTTTATCACTACTTTAAAGTTAATCATATATTCAAATAATATTCAAACAGGGGAAAGTATTAATCAGTTTCAACCATCTTACTCAAAAAATCACCTTTTTTTAATCTCTAACTAGAGTGTTTGTTTAAATTGATGATGATAAGCCCTCAGGCAGTTTTTTTCCCTTTGATATTGAATGCCTGAATTAATATTTACAAGAAGGTGCATTTTGTTTATATGCCTATAAATAAATAAATTTAAAAACTTATCTTTGAAATAATGGTATCATTTCTATATTGGTGTAGAATATCCAGAAAGGCTTTTTGGAAATTAAGGTAATCTGTTCTGTTCTGAATAAGAGTTGTTTTGTCAACTCTTGTTTGTTTTTATACTTTGCTCTTTAGAAATGATTGTCAGCAAATGATTTTGCAAAATATTAAAAGGATGGACAATTTTGCCATTTTAATCATAGTTTTACATTTACCTTTTCCCATATTACAATTGAATTAAAAATGCATGTATTAATGATCAGTAAGGTCATGCAGTAATCTGAGTATGAAAAAGAAAAGGTGATTCATTTAAATAAATTTCCATGCTTTCCCTGCAAATTATGGACTATAGATGGGCTTATATTTCTGCTTTTTATATTTCTTCAATATAATATTCTTCTAAAATTTGGTCTGTAGAAAACATGGGCATCTTTACTCTACCTCCAGGTGAATCACATCTTTTATTGGTTGGAGACCCCGGTACTGGTAAATCTCAATTTCTGAAATATGCAGCAAAGATTACTCCACGATCTGTACTTACAGCAGGAATTGGATCTACAAGTGCAGGTAAATAATGCTGCATGAATATCAATTTTTAGAAAATGGGTAAGAGCCTCTGTGGCACAGTAATTAGAATGAAGTACTGCAGGTTATTTCTGCTGACTGCCAACTGCCTGCAATTTGGCAGTTCGAATCTCACAAGGTTCAAAGTTGACTCAGCCTTCCATTCCTTCCGAGGTTGGTAAAATGAAGATCCAGATTGTTGGGGACAATATGCTGATTCTGTAAACCACTTAGAGGTGGGTGTAAAGCACTATGAAGGAGTATATAAGTCTAAGTGCTATTGCTAAGAGTAAGATTTCCCAAATTCTCCACTAATATGAAGATGCTGCTGAAAATTTTACACAGACTAGTACAGACAATCTTCTTGTCTCACTGTTGACAACCACAGTTGTCCCTGGTCACATTTGTTCCTGCTGTGGTTCATGCCCCCACCAGTGGTTCACAACCCCCCTCTTTTTTTATCATCACCCAGATGATTATTGGTAGATCTCCAAAACCCTTGCCTAGCTTCCTCCACATTCAGCAAGCCCAGATATTCCTGTGATCTAATATGTCATCTCTTGTTCCACGGTTGGCTGCAAATGCTATGATGGAGAGGCTGGTGCTGATGGCAGGCAAAAGTGCAGCTCTAGGCAGTTCTTTTCTCCATGCAGAAGAAAACTGTTCCTATTTCTGTGATTTATGTTCGGGGAGGCAGATGACAGACAAAGGATGCTCCTTGAATTATATTTGAATTGTAATGCAGGGCAGATGTACCCAGTCCAGTAATGCATCTTCAAGTTAGCTTGTAATTAAGGAGTGCTTCTGTGCATAATCAGTATAGCACTATTTGGTAGCTCAGGAAGAGAACTTTCATTTCTAAGCAAGAGAAAACAACCCATGTATTCTAGCCTCACCTTTGCAGGGCCTTCAATTTTCCAGTTCAGCAACCCTGAGTTAATGATGGCAGTTTTTCTCTGATAATGTATTCCCATGTCTTAACATATTTTAAAAACCCAAATACAAGAATGATGGGAGAAACCTATCAAAGTATCAGGGGCAGAATAATATATTCAAGGCCAAGTTCTCCAAAGTAATGGGGGGGGGATTCAGGCAGTAGAAATTAGGAGACATTGGAAATGCACTGCTACTCAGAAAGAATTGGACTAGGAGCCGACCAGATGCATTATAAATCAAGTTTTACTTAGGAGGTGGTAGTCTTCCAATGGATTTTCTAAGCATCATTACATAATCTCTCAAAGTTTTGGAAACTACATGCATAAAGCAGAGCTTCTTTTCCACTGACTGCTCCTAGTAATCCCCACTAAAAAACCAAGAGTTGAAGTTCACCCAAGTTGAGGGTATTTGGATTGGGGAAGGACGATCTAGGAATAATGGGGGTAAATGGTGGAATTTTTCTTGTGAAAGTTAGTCTTACTTGGGAATTTCTAATAGCTGACATGTGAACAGAAGAAACTACTAAGCTCCACAGTTTTCTCCATTTTCATCTAGAGGAATGGATATAGTCTTCATATAGTCAAACAACAAAGAATAAAGGTAAAGTCCAATACAGAAATTGTTGGTTGTCTAGCAGACAAGGGTCTTTGTACCCAAACCATAACCTTAAGAGATATGTGGACAGAGTCATCAAAAGTCAGGTGTGTAGTTGCTAAGGCCCACTTATATTAAAAGTGATTCTCTCTTGGTGTCAAAAAGAAGAGAAAATCCTGGCACTTGAAGAGAAGATGGAGGCTCAGGAAGGGACAGTATGATCTAGGATTGTTCCAAAAGATAAACTGATGAAATTGTCTGAATCTCTAATGTATTGGGAGTAGATTATGAAAAACCCTACATGTCTGCTAAAGCTCTGTAACAGACCTCTTAGTAGATAGTTATTTAAAATGATGGAGAACTGAGTAAACCTATGAGGCTATCTAGGAATGTAAATTCCTACCGGTAATTCAATAAGTACCAAAGTCCCCTGCAGAATAATAGCATGTGCAACTGATGTTAGCCTGGACTTCATTATCAGTTGACTGACAACTGACCAATTCTTGAGCTGATTATTAAATCAGTAATTCTTGACAATCAGTGTCAAGCCTGAATTTGGTTAGATTGTGGCCCGGTAAGTAGACTGAGGTGCGGTAATCCACTGTGCCACGCAAATCAGCTGAGCTGAAAAAGATGGAAATATAGGACAGGATAGGGCCGGCGGGCGGGACCAGCTGACCGTCAGAACGACCGGTTGGCTAGAACCAGTCTGAACTGGCAGCAGCCCTCCAATAGTGGTGTGAGGAGAAGTTATATAGCACTTCCTCTTTCTTCACACTGCTAAATTTTATAGAAGAGTAAGTTACATGGAAAATAATGAGATGTATGGCAGACCCAATGATACATACTGAGTCCTGAGCTTCAGATACAACAGTTCGTATCAAATGTAGCCATTTTGAATCTTAACTTTCCTTTGGTCTTGTTACCTCTTAAGAGTATTCACCTAGAAAATTTATAATATGCATTGCAAACTTTTTTGGAAATTAGATAACAATAAAAAGCTAAAAAGAACAGAAAGTGAGCCCCAGAAATCTGGCCATCTCTAGACTCCTGTCAGTCCTTGCCTAGAGACTCCATGCAAGCAGAATTTCAGGCCATAGTATTTATAGCACTTTCTTCTATCTGAAGGGAAAGGAACTTTTCAAGAAATAGGAGTGTTCTAAGATTAGCCAAGAGGGGCAGCTTGGTGTAGTAGTTAAGGCACCAGGCTGGAAAATGGGAGTCCAGGCGTTCTAATCCAACATGACTTTTGGCCAGTCATTTTCAATCCTGAGGATGTAAGGCAATGATAAGCCATTTCTGAAGCCTTACCGAAAAATCTGCAGTGACATGCGCAAGCAGTTACCAGGATTTAAAAGGCAGGCGTGCACATGCACACAAAAATATACACATAGCCAGATAGGGACAATTTTGATGTGCCCCATATTACTAACCAATAGTCTCAAGCAACTAATGTAATAATAATACACCAATATAGATTCACACACTAATATACCCTTAAATATCAATGGCATCATCTAGGAGTCACATTCATCACGTACACACCTTTTCTCTTTGCAAGTCCTACATTCTACCAACTATACGTAAATCTTTCATCTAAAAACCAGCAACAAAGCTGCCTCGGCATTTGGAGTCATAGTAAATTTCTAATGCACTGTGTTTAGCTGCTTAGCTGCTTAGAATGAGAGATGAGGCCAATAGTTATAAGTTAAAGAACAGCATCCTTGTTGGTAATTGTACTGTACTTATGAAGATTTTGGGGCTTGTTTCTTAAACCATGAATTCCTATAACATTTGCCACCTCAATAGAGAAAAAGTCTGGAGTACCTTGACCAGCTAATGGTATTGTAATCCTCTATTTCTGGTTTGAGGTATACCAGGGCTGTCAAACTTGCAGCCCATAGGCCAGATATGTCACACGCTGGCCATGCTCATGCCGTTTAGCGAAGAGGTTAAAAAAGTTGCAATACATCACGTGACACTGCCATGACAACACAAGTTTTGACACCCCTGTATTATACACTTCCAGTAGCAGCTGTGCCTTTTCCAAGATCGCTTGGGAGCTTAAAGCTTGACAGGCTTGAAGTTTTACTAGTTGGTCACATTTGAGGTAGCCATCATAATCTGACAAGTGTGCAATGGCACCTGTCCAGCCAAGGCCCCTTTGGCAGCCTGCATATGACACTGTTGTCACTGATAAGTGATATTAAGTTGCATTAGACTGATCTCACATGAATCTTAATTATCACTTGCAGTTTGCAGGTAGCTGCCACCTTTTGTTTGGGCCAGCTCTGCCCACTATGCATACAATTCACACTCAAACCTTCTATTCACACTTTATGATTCTCAAAGCATAAAAAGATCATTGCATTCAAGCTAAGCTTATAAATCAGCTTCACTAAACCCCATCTATAATTTACAATTAAAAACATGTAAACGTCTATCATCCCTGCCTACGCCTAGTTTGCATATCTTTATACATATGGGTAATAAGCTCTAACACTAGATTAAAAAAACTCAGGCAGTTACTTAAAAATAGTTTTATTTATACATCCACTCAAATACTTTTCCTTATAAACTTTCTACAGGGTGTGTGTTCTTTAAGCAATTTTCACATTTGTTTAATATGTAATCCCAAAGAAAAAGTTTCTGTGATGGTTGTGTTCTGTGTACTGTGTGTGCTTAGAGCTCAACATATAACATGGGCGCAGAAGGTCACATGCAGTCCATATGAGATTCCAACATGACATTTAGAGAGTTTTCAGATGTTGGCCACCCTTTTGAGGCTGAAGGCAGGGCATCTGTAGAAAGGAGTGACTGGAGGTTTGGGTTACTGCTCTCGGCATCTGTCAGTTTTTCAGTGTTGTCCTCCCAATTAATATGGAATCTTGTGACTCTGGGATTGGATGCCAAAATATTCCTCTGGAGCTAGAAAGCAGAAAGATTAATGTTTTAGAAGATCTATATTCATAAGGGAAGACTTCCTTTTGTATTAGATGATGTGCACTATATAAACCAGGAAAGGCCAAGGTTAAGAAAAATAATATAGTTGTTTAAACATCAAAAGGCACACTATTCAAAACAGGCTTATTCTTCTACATTCTGCTCCTCGATAAAATAAAAATCAACTGGTGCAAATGTGGGTAGCAGAGAAACAACCCTCTCTTTTGCTCTAAAGACAATGCCCTTTGTTCCCCTTGTGTTTTCACTAAAGGTTAAATTTGTGGTTCAGATCTACAAAAATAAGCAGGTTAACTTTTTTTCCCCAGTAGGAATTCACTCTACCTGTATCAGTTCAATTAATGATGAAAAAACTTTATGAACACAATGGGTAGTTAAGCAAGGATGTCATATAATCCCCATTTGCGGGGACCTCTTGCAAGTTTCTCCATTGACATTGCTTGTAGGAAGCTGCCAAAGACCACTAACTGATCATGAGACCTTGGGGTCACGAGACCTTGGAGTCATTGCAA